TGCAGGGACTGCGGGAGGCAGGAGAGGGCGTGAGAGGCGGGCCGGGGCGGGAGGAGGGGGCGGGGCCTGCGGCCCGGCTCTCACCATGTTCCTGAAGTGGGCGCTCAGGGTGCCCGTGCCCTGGTGGTACTCCATCACGCAGCAGTTGTTCAGAATCTCCCCGCTGCTCTCGCTGCAACGGGAAAGGCAGGTCAGGGGCTGGGCGCTGGGCCAGCTCCGCCAGGACACCAGCTGTGGCGCCAACCATCTCCAAGGGGGGGCCACGCCCTCTGGGCCCAGGGATCCCACGCGGGGGGCTGGAAGCTGGCTGTGGGCACAGTGGCCTGTTTGGTTCTTTGGGGTATTCCAGCCGGCTGACAGGTTCCTAGGGAAGGCCGGGACCTCCAGACACACCCTGCATGCTGAGCTAAGGCCCAGCAGCCGCCCCACGCCGGGGGCCTCTTGCCCAGAGACAGCGATGGATTGAGGGCCAGACACGGCGTGACCTTCGGGGACAGACAGCCTGTGTGGCTGCTGGCTGGTGCTTTCGCTTTCCCACCTTCCTCCCCTGAACCCTCCGCACTCACCCCCAGGAAAGGAGCTAGTGCCCTTCCCCGTGCGTGTCTGTGCCGAGCCGCACACGGCCCAGCCAGACCCTCGGTGGGGAGGAGGGCGAGTTTCCACCGAGGAGGGGGGAAGAAGCTCCCAGCTGCTGTGCCAGAGCTTGTTCTCCAAGCGTCTGCGGCTCTCAGCCGGGGAGTTTTCATGCTCAGGTTTCAGCCCGCCGGGCGGGTCGGACTCTACGCCGGCTTCCCCGGAGCTGAGCTCTGGCGCCTCGTAAGCGCTGCCCCTGCCCTTGGCTCTCCCACGCCCCCCCTGGCCTCTTACCGCCGGGCTGGAAGGGCGGAGTGCGAGAGCCCCTGGCAAAGCGCCCACTGCCCAAGGGACCAGTAACACCCGAGCTCGGCCCCTGTAACTCGGGTCGCCGGACCAGGCGGTCACGGTCCCGCTAGCTCTAGGGAAGGCGCTCAGCGCCATTTGTCTCCGTGCGAGTGTCCTGTCCTGCCCCCTTGGCGTGGGGGCAGGGCGAGCTTGTCTGCGCCCCTCTCCGCTCAGAGGGACCCTGCCGGGCACACGCTGAGGGGGCCCCGGCTCTGTGAGCAGAGGGGCAGAGAGAACACGGAACCAAGCTCCCAGGGCCCTGCCAGGCGGCGCGGCGGGGCCAGCTCGGGGGTCTCCCCGGCGGAGGGGGGGCCTACTTGCGGGTGCTCTCGTTCTTCAGCAGGGCCTTGGCTTGCTGCTCGCTGATGATGGTGGCCTTCACCTGGGGCGGGTTCATGTGCACGTTCAGCTTCCCCCCCACCAGCAGCCGCACGGTGGGCCCGAAATTGGTCCGCGTCT